GAGGAGGGGCCAACACGCCTCCTCAGTCCTGCCTTGGTCATCTGCAGTCACCTTCAGAGCACCTGGGCAGGCCAACCCTGATGAGAAAGGCTTGAGGGCCCAGCCTGGGGAAAAATCCAAAACTCAGAAGCCCAACAAAATTCCAGAGCCATGACCTACCCCAAGCAGGGCCCCAAGTCCATCACTGGGCAGGGACAGCCCTGCCCCTGCCAGGCAATGACATAGGGAAGAGTCCCAAGGCAACCAGCAGGAGGCGGGAATGGTGTACAGAAATACAGGCGGGTGGGAGCCAGGCGGCCACAGGCATTGAGGCAGCCCCCCTCCCACTTCCCCGCCAGTATCTGTCCAGCTCTTTAAGACCTGACAGCCTACACTGCAGTTGGCCAAACTGCAGGGACAAGGACAGCAAAGGTGGTGGGACAGGCCGGCCACGCCAGGAACTGCCAACCCAGTGCAACGGACTGAGGAGCACCTAAAACAGTACCGTCTGCTGCCAGAGCCATGTATGGAACAATGGAAATACTGCCTCCCCCCTAAGTGTAAGTTCCCATTATTTGGAAAGGCCCCGGTATTGCTGCATGCCTGCTATCTGCCAGAAGGTGACCATAGACTATCACATAGCTGGGGAGGTGGGGGTGAAAGGACTGTCCACCTCTACCCATTCCTATTCAGTCAAGGAGACACAGGGACTGGTGAAACAAGCAAAACAAAAGGTGGGTGGCCCAAGGCCAAGTGTGGGTCAACCCCGATGAACCAGCTATGGAGCTACAAAAAGTCAGACGGTGCCAGATATCGACAAACCTGATGGCTGCTGGCTTAGCCACAGATAAAAGGACAGTCCTGCTGGGGAAATGGGCATTCATGGTGTGATGCCAGGGCACAAACCACTGGCAGCTGGTGTAGGGAGCCTGCCCAAACCTGGGTTTCAGCGGCAGCTCCAAAATGCTGATGCTCAAGGTGCACGCCCTCCAGGCGTGCAGACCCGAGTGAATCCCTGATGCTTGGCCTGAGCACCTCTGTGATAAAACAGAGCAGACCTCTGGTGGCACCTAACAAGCCACAGGATCTGTCCGTGACAGAAAAACTGGGACAGCTGACTTTGCTCTCAGTGTTGCCAGAGCTGAGCCAGGCCCTGGGCTCAGGCAGCAAGGGCTCCAGGCTCTCCGAGGCTCGGTGCCTTTCTGAAGTGCATGTTTCCCCTGTTGCTAAATACACACTGGGGTGGAGAAACTGACTGCTGCTCTGCTCAGCACCATGCAGGGGAATTACGCTTGCAAATTCTTGTGGTAAAAGCTGCAGTCTGAGGACATCCACACCATGCACCAGTATCAGCTGCCTAGAGGTCCTGGAGAAATGGGACAGACTGTCTGGAAATTGCTGGTCATACACCCTGCACAAGCCCTTCACTATGGCCCACACGGAAGACAGACACATCCTAAGGAAGGACTACAAAATCTCGCTGTGATGCTGGCAGTCAGGGCCAGTTTGCCTTCATCCGGGAGGGCAAGGAATGGATAGTCCACAAGACTATTTGCATAGCTCTACTTTGTGTCATGGCCTGGTGCCCAAGACCTGGCCACCTGGGCTAAGCTATACTCTGTGTCACTGTTTCATTCTTTGATGATATCATGTTAACCTCTGATGGCCTTGCAGATTTGAAAGCTGCCGTGCACAGTCTGAAGGAAGCTGTGCTGGCCTGGGGGGTCCGTGAATGAAGACAGGGTCCAGGGTACTGGCTTGTCTGTCAAATTCTTGAGTGTTTTTGGTCTGATAAGACAAAAATAATTCCCCATGCAATTACAGATGACCCTGAAGGGAATGATATGGCTGACAGACAGCACAGGCTGCTTTTCAGGAATCAAAGGGGGCAGTTGCATAGGTGCCAGCCCTACGAGTCAGTGACCCGACCTTGCCATTTATCCTAACGGTGAATGTGGATGACGTTGGGCTTGGCTGCGGCCTATAGCAAAAACAGGGAAAGCAGAAGCCCCCTGTTGCGTTTTGCTCACAGTTCTAAAAAGGGATCCCAGAGCTGGTATTCCCTGATTGAGAAACAGTTAGCAACCATGTACAGTGCTCTGCGACCCTGGGTGGGATCACAGGACAACTGACACTGAAAGTGCAGACACAATACCCAATAGAGGGTGGGGTGTGGACACGGATAGCCAGTCCCAGCAGTGGAGTGGCACAAGCCCCCATTTTTTCATGTCGGAGCTGTTAAGGTCTCTTGTTGCTTTTGCTACCTTGTGGGCACAAGGAACTGTTTCTGTCTGTGATGCTCCTGTGCCAAGCCACCCTGTGTTAGAGCCAGCCAATCATGGACTGAAACCTCTACAAACTGTGAGCTAAATAAACCTTCCCTCACTTAACTGGTGGGTGTTCTATATTTTGTCCCAGCGACAGGAAAAGCAACTAAGACAATCGAGCAGGCGCCCGGAGGGAGGTGAGTAAGCCAGTGTCAAATGCCTGAATGGCACTGATTAGCACTTCCAGTACAATACAGGAGCCAGTGCATGAAATACCAAGGAGCAGGATCAGCATCAGGATGAGCTCCTGTGGCATTTCCACCCTCCTGTGGGTCTCTTTGGCTTCCCACACCACCAGCTCTTGCCACCCAGGCCTCTCTTCAGAGACCCACAGCCACTTTTCCCTGGCTGTGCAGCCAGCTCACGCCTGGACAGCTCCAAACTCACCTGGTGCGCAGTTTTGCAGCAATCCATCTTTAATCCGCCTGTGTGGCCACAACTGCCTTTCACACCACCTCAGCTGTCTCTGCACGGAGCTGGACTTTACAAGGCCATATAAACCAAGCCATTTGGCAGCTATTCAAGGGTGAGAGGCTGAGAGAAAAGGAACTGGGTGTGGAGAGAGAGGCAGCATGTGCAGGGGTGATAGCTCTCAGCAGGACTTGGAGGAGGAACATAGGGATGTGGGCAGTCCCAGCCTGAAAACTTTCTTTTCTTTCTCGTCCTGGGTATCACCCCGAGACCGACCTTTAGTTCACAAAGATCCAGAATGGTATCATCATGGGAAGCTAGGAGGATAGAAATTGATATACAGTCAGAGTGCAACTGGGCTGTCAAGGAAATCAGCAGAAAAAAATAAAGACATCAGCATTGTGGCTGGAGGTGCATCTGAACAAGACCAAGTCTGGAGATAAAAATCCATCAACCAGGCTGACATGCCTCCCCGAAGGGATGTGCAGTAACTTAGAATTCTACTATAACTGTTATCATCTCACTTGGTCCAGTAAAGTCCAGACAGACATCAGTTGTTACAGCAATTTTAGTTTGAAAAAACTGAGCAGCACTTGGAGAAGTGGAGGGAACTGAGCTTCATTATGCCAGTGGGCTCAGAGGAGCTGCATACTCCAAAGTCTGATGCCCGAGCTAGTATTGGAAGTTACTTTTATGCTGTTTATCAGATAAGGCGGTGGTCTTTTGCCAGCCAGTGAAACTTTATAAATATGGGAACAAACTGGAAACAGAAACAGGCTGGGTACAGCTTGGTGGAAGGAACACTGCAGACTGTGAACATATTTGGGTTTTGAAACATTTTGAATAGAAAAGTTCTGCTACATTTCCCCCCTTTGATCCTCCTAGTCTCTCTTACCATAGGGCATCACTTACTTCTAGGGGCTGATATCTGGGATTAGTCTGCACCAGTATCTGGAGCAGATTGTGTAGTGAGGGCCTGTACCTGGTTCTGGAGGAACCCCATCAGTAGCCCAAAGAATATGAGGTGGAGGATCCTGACCAATGGGCCAACCAGGGGAAGAAGCCATGAGCTCCAGCTCATCTGGGATTTAGAAAAAGGCAAAAGATTTATTTGAGCTGAAGAGAAACCAGAGTATGCCATTTAGAAATAGCCTGTTCTCCTAATCTATTGGCTTGTGTTTTTGGGCTCTCTGTGGCTCCCAGACTATTCCGGACAGTGTGTGTAGGAGCGGCACCCTTCTAGGAAGAGGCATCGGCTCCCCTTTTCTGCTGTCTGAATGTTGAGCGCTCTTTGCTTCTGAAGAGCTGCAGCTGCCATGGAGTCTAACTCACTGTAATGTGAGAGGGCCTTGGAAATATCAGTGAAGCTTTGAGAGAGTTCTTGGGACAGGGATTTGTGAGACTCATTGGCACTGATTCGTTAGCAGTCCCTGTCCCTGTCATAGTAATGTCTAGCCCCACTGGCAAGGGGATGAGCACGGGAGCCTGATGGTGTCAGGCTGATATTAGCATAGGGACTGGGAGTTCTTGGTCCCCTGGGAAAATATCGATCTTTCTGCTCAGGTAAACTGGGGTACAGGTCCCAGTCCAGTTAGCAAGGAGGCAGAGGTAGGCAGAAGTGCCACAGAGCCACAACTCCTGGGGTACTCAGGCAAAAAGGCCAGTGTACCTAGAGAAAGCTAAAGTCTTTGATGGTCTTGCCAGACCCCAACCATTATGGCCACTGTGGCCCCAGTCAAGGGGATTCTCTGGCCCTAGTTTTTAACCTGGTGGTGCTCTGAGCTTTATTTTCCCAATGAAGGAAGAACGTTTTTGTATTCAGTAGGAAACATCCCTGAGATTGGTTAAGATTTCACAGCAGGAGGCACTCATGTGAGGATGGGGTCCCACTCCAGAGAGTGACAATGGTGAATGGTGATGTAGGGATTCTGTTGTCCATTACAAAATTTGGAGTGTTTTAACAAGTGGGATTGGATGTCTATTGTGGGTGGCCCAATAGAAGGACCTTGTGGGGAGGAAGAAGAAAAGTGGTGTGGGGTGGGTGTTGAAGGGTCCGTGTGAAATTACAGTTTGTGAGGCTTAAGTGTCTCAGGAAGATCCCCAGAGTGCATTTCTGCTGAATCCAAAATATGGCCTGTGAGTCTAGATTGACATCTTGGAGGATAGCTCCTCACATAGTATGGGGGTATGTTAATTTCTCAGCCTTGCTGGCTTTAAGGAAAGACTTTTCCAAGTTTTGAAAGCAAAGGATTTTAGTGGGGCAAGATTGATGCCAGCTTGGGGGTGGTATGAGGCATTGGCTAGTGACCAAACCCTAAGGGGACTGGGGTGGCCTCAGTGGATGCAAGCAATGGCAGATATGCAGAGCCAACACTCCCTGGTCAGTTCGGAAGTGGTGCAGTTGATCAAGGATGAGTGAGGGTTATGGCCTTATGTATGTATCCAGGAAGCAAGGGGAAGCCTTGGCCACGTGCCTGGGATAAGCAGACAAGGAGAATAAAGACAAGCATTCTTGTCAAGGTGTGAGGCAGGTGATACCAATGAAGCAACCTACCCATAAACTTAATGTCAAGGCTATGATGTACCTTCAATTTAGAGACCAGATCCTCTGGACCATTGCTACAGGCCTGTTGCAAAAAGAAGTGTCACCAGTCCAAGGACAGGGGTATCAAGGGTGACAGTGCATTGCAATCAGTCTCATAAAATGGGAGGCGTTCTACAAATGGCATCCTCAGGCTTCTACTGCAAGTAGACTAGTCATCCCCCAGCATGACTAGAACAGGGTTGTTGTCTCTCACTGGTGTCTTTGAAGTCATGCTGAGTCCTAGTGATATGGCAAGTGAGTTCATCAAGAACAGCATCCACAAGAGACCAAAAGATCAGGAACAAACAAAGCTTTATTGAGCCAGCTGACAGACAGTCTCTAACCAGGAGCTAGAGAAAATGTCCACGCTGATCTGCATCTCACCTTTGGTGTCAGTACATTTTAGGTTTCCATAGTAACCATTACCTCATTTTTGGGAAACTTACAAGAATGTTGCACAATTATCACAAAGTTTATTTCCCCAGAGGCTGTCAGACAGCTGGATTCCAGATGACCACTGCAGTTTAACTTTTAGCCTACTTCCCAATTTGTCCTGTTTGGGGCCAGGAATATAGTTCAGTGGCCAAGCACCTGCTTGGCAATTGCAAGGTCCTGAGTTCGATTCCTGGTACCAAAACCGAAAAAGTATCATCTCCAATTTGTCCTGTTTGTTCTGTTCCCACTTTATGACTCTGCTTTCCTTTAACTGGGTTCATAACTAACGAAGGGGACTGAGGTGAATAGTGGGGTCAACTACAGCTTAAGTGAATTTAAGTGACTTCTCTTAATATGGAGTTGAAAAAGAAAATGGAGTCTCTCTTGCCCTATCACTAGTTCTTCCCATTTGAGTTAGGTCTTTACAGGGGTGTGCGGAAAAGTATGAGTAGTCCGGGTGGCTGAAGGGTCCTTGAGGGTAAGCCTTTTTCAACCTTGAATGGTGTTTCCGAAAGATGATACCTGCAACTTTAACAGCAGTTGGGGTGACAAGTACAATAAAGTGAGACCCTGTCCACACAGGCTGAAGGGGTCCTTCTTCCAGTCTTTAACAGAGACTGAATTTTCCAGCAGGAATTTGTGTGTCAGGCTGACTGAGGAGATTGGAATTCTCCCTAGGGTAGTCTTGTGACTATGAGAGAATACTTTTTCTAGTGCCTGTATCTAAGCAGCCAGGCTGGTGTCCCCTAGCTATCTGACATCTCTGAAGGTTCTGATTATGGGAGGGGGCCTCCTGAGCAGTACCTCATAAGGGAGTAGCCTGAGGGTCCTAGTGTTCAGCAGACACACAACAGGGCTAGGGACAACACATCTATCCAGGGCAGGTGAGTCTCCTAACAAAGCTTAGCTACAGCGGTCTTCAGAGTATGATTCATGTGCTCCACTTTCCCTGAACTTTGTGGTTTGTAAGCCATATGAAGATAACATTTGATCTCAAGAAGATCCATGAGAATCTGAGTAATCCCTGCCACAAAGGTCAGTCCACTGTCACTTCTGATATTGAAGGGCAGTTCAATATCAAGGGATGACCTCCTGCAGCAGAACTGTAGCCACTTCTTGTGCTTTTCCCATTCGAATAGGTATGATTTCTATCCAGCCCAAGCAGATGCAGACAAAGACCAGCAGGTACTTATGTCTGAGTCATGGTCTGATTTCTGTGAAATCTACCTGTAATTTCTCAGAGGGTGAGATTCCAGTGTGTTGTAGTTCTGCAGCAGACCAAGGGCATTTGAGGGCATTATTTCAGACACAGAGTTGACATCAATTAGCAACTGTGATGCAGAGAGAAGACATCTGGGGACATAGTATTATTGCCCTAGAAGCATCTGCAGTGTAGTTTTTCCCAAGTGGATGAGGCCATGGTGGTGTTCAATGAAGGAGTATGCCATTCCTTGAGGAATGAAAGTCCTCTGGTCCTGTAAACACTACTGCATTCCTGAACCTTTGCAAGCTCCTTCATTTCAAGTCTATTGATTTTCTTCTGGGGTATACTGTAGTGGTTCCTTGGTCAGTCACATATCAATAGCAATTTGGGTATCTTAAGGGTAAAGGTGACCCATTCTGGTGTGTAGTCTCTTTTGTCTCCTGATCTGCCAGTTGATATCACCTTGTTATGTCATCTTGCCCTTTTTGGTATCCCTGACTGTGTATGATGGACATTCTCTTGGGTTCCTAGTTGGTTGGTGTGTTCCAGGATTCCAATCTGTGCTTCCCTAGATATGGCATATTGTCTTAGCCTGATAGGGGTTGTTCCACCAGTACTGGAGCCTGATTTTTGGCCATTCAGGACAGGGACTTTTCAGCCCATATCTCTGGGTATGGCTCCAACATCAGTGGAGGGTTCTGTTCTTTTCTATCCATTGTACATAATTTCCATTCTTCTCTGGAGACTGAGACTGACAGGACTAGGTTTTCCTAGTTACCAAGAGACAGGCTAGTAAGTCCCTCAAGTGTAAAGGTTATCTGATCCCTGATTTTAATCAACAAGTCTCTTCCAAGAAAGGGAATGGGGCACTCAGGTAGATGCAGAAACTGGTGTACTACTTCAT